GAAAATAGGGATAACAGATGCTGCTTTCCAGCATGATGGAAAACAAGACTCTGATAAGCACTTGTTAAATAGTTTAGAAAGTATGGATGAAAGCTCCGGAGAACACCTCTGCAAGACTACAACAGGAATGTTGTCAGGGCCACAAGCTGTTGAAGAGTCTAAGCAGGAAATTACTTTAGGTACAGAAGCTGAAGTGATGCGAATGTCAAGCAAGGGATCAACCTGTTTGATGGCTATGTCAGGTAAAACGCAACTAGTGGAATCAAGAGATGATATTGATGAAAAGTTCTTAGCAAACAATTCAGCTTTGTCTTTAGGTGAGGTGACAAAGTCTGAACCATACAAGAGAGAAGGAATAACAGATTTGCCCTTATTATTGATACTGTTAAAGATTCTCCAGAAGTCTCGAGAGCCTAATTTTTGTGATGAGATACGAGATTTAATGACCTGGGAATAGCGAGCTTACTCAGAAGAACGCGAGTTTATTCAGAACGCGAGTTTACTCAGAAAAGCAATGCGAGCGCTTTCACCAAGATATATTGGGCTTTAAACGTCGCTACCAAAGATAATATAACAAAAACATGAAGGGGGACTGCGCTTGGTGGCTACTTGAGAGTGATATACAGCTTAATCGTAACTTTAGAAATTCAAAACTTTTCTGGACCTTGTTGAATGGTTTATGACTGTGTTTGTCTGCTTCTTGTGCATTTTTTGTTTTTACGAAATCATAATGATAAAGATTTAAAAAAATTGTTTTATTTTCGCAAATAAACAAGTTTTCTTTGTGCTGTTGTCGTGTAAGCAAAGTTTCTGCTTAATGAAGTCATTTTTTCACACACTCTAGAAATAAGTAATTTCAATAATAGTGTAATTACTTTTAAATCATAGTTTTAATTTTGATTTTTTTTTCGTATTTTTTTAGTTATTTATTTTATTTTTTTTAACTAACTTTTTTATTTTTTTATTGATTGAAATAAGTATATATTGATAACTTATGATTTCTTATATCATAAATAAAAATATTATAACTTTAATTTTAACGTCGTTATCTAAACTCAGTCTATATGATGAACAAAATTTATTATTCTTAATACTTACCAAATTTATCCAGGGGCTTGGTGATAAGTCTTCATCTTGTTTCTCCTGTCAGTTTATACTGTTAATATTAATGTAAAAGTGTATATTTACACAGCAAAAAATAAAAAGTAAAAAATAATTAACTAATACCATCTATTATTATTTCGTTTTTTATATCCTTACTTATTTTAGTCTTTTTTTAAGAGGTACTCATTGGTATGGAGTTACAGACATTTTTAGTTACATCAAATGCAAATGGAAAATATAACTATGGTTACCTTTTTTTTTTTTTTTTTTTTTTTAATTCTTTATTACAATCATTACTACAATTTCTATTATAACTTGTGAATAAAACGTAAGACATAAAAGAAGAAATAAATAATATTTACAATAAAGATTTCGTTAACAATAGAAATATGACAATAAATATAACAATAAAAATTAGGAATAAAGAATGCGGAAACTCGAAGAAGTCCTCGAGGTCTTGTCGTAGAGAACCGCTGTAATCAAAACGCTTTAAATGAATTCATTTTTATTGATTTTTTGTAAATGTTTATTAGCTTTTGAATTGGATCTGTTCTGATAAATAATTATACAAACCGTTGCATAAAATAGTTGAAAATAATATACTTCAGTATAATTATTGATGTGTTTGATGACGTCATAGTGTGTTGTAGATGTTAATATAAATCGAATAGATTAAAAAAAATAATAATTAAATTGAACATTTCTTGCATTAAAATTGTAGAAAATAAAATCAGGGTGGGGTGTTCTTGTTGATAATTAGCTCTTTTTCTAATATAGTTTTTTTTTAAGTATATATTGTGTTTGCATCTTTACCTTACAAGCGATCATAGGTGGTATCACCGAATCCCAATCCAGTCCAACGACTGCCAAGCAGTTTTAGTTGGGTGTTCCTACGCCAGAGGTTATGCAGCACTATTCTTTTTTTTTTTTTTTTTTTCGAATATACATAGACTGCAAGCACACACACACACCCATACTAACAGCACATATACACCCATATATATACCAATATACGTACATAAATACATACATACACAGATACACATACACATTTATACATAATTTATTGATTTTATTTTATTTTTTTTCAATTTCTTTTTTTTTTCATTTCTTTTTTTTTTTTTTTTTTTTTTTTTTTTAATTTTTACAAAACCGTTTTATAAAAATTTATTTTTTGTTTTTTGTTTTTTCAAATACTAAATAAAAGATAAAATAAACCTGAAAATTTATACATACTAGCATTATATAATATAAAGCAATATACAATACGAACTCAAATAATAAATATTTATACATCTATTCATAGATATCAGTTTCAGTACAATCTCAATGTAACTATATACTTAGGTAAACTTAGTTTTAATAATAGGTAGACAAACCCAAAACACTAGTAATATAGAAAAACGTTTTCCATAGAAAGAATTAGATTTTTAAGCTTAGTTTTGAAGATAGATAGATCAAAAGTTTGCAAAATAACTTTATTCCAAAGATTAGGTGCACGGTAATCAATACAAAGCTGATTAAACTTGGTTCGACATAAAACTTGATTTAGCAAATTATTATTTCTCAGTGTATACTTATTGTCTGGTTTCAAAGTAAAACTATTTTTAAAAACATCAGGAGATAAGTTATCTTTCTACATATATACAAAACATAGAGTATTATATAAATTCACTTCATAAATATTAAGTATTCTCATTTCGTTAAATAAAGGTTTTGAATGAGTAAAACGATCGGAAAAATTAATAATACGAATTGCGTGTTTCTGACGTGAAAAAAGACGTTTCAACTTATTCTTTCCAGCACTTCCCTGAGCAATATTTGCATAAATTATATAATTAAGGATAAACGAATGATAGAGTTGGTTCAATCTTTTTTTATTTAGATATTTATTTTTTTAGATATATATTTATTTAGATTATTATTTAGATTTATATAAAATTCCAATATTTTTAGAAATCTTGGTACATGCGTGATCAATATGCTGTTTCCATGTAATGTGCTCATCAAGATAGACTCCTAAAAACTTTATGTCAGAGTCCCTCTTAATCTCAATTTGGTTAATAAATATTTTAGGCAGATTTATGGGTAGGTAACGTTTTTTTTTAAGCGGGAGGAAAATAATCCATTTTGTTTTATTAGGATTAAGAGTTAATTTGTTACACTTGAACCAGCAAGATATTTTTTTAAGTTCGTCATTTATATTACAAAACAGTTTGGAGATGTCAGTATCAGAAAGGAATAGGTTAGTATCATCAGCGAACATAATGCTAAGTAGATTTGAAGCTTTTTTTAAGTCATTAATGTAAATCAAGAATAAGAGGGGTCCCAATATAGAGCCTTGAGGAACACCGCAAGATATATCTAATAAATTTTTTTGGCAATCATCCTTACAAGAAACAAATTATTTACGATTTGATAGGTAGCTTTCAAACCATCTTAAAGTTTTTTTGTTTATACTATAATATTTAAGGTTATGCAGTAATATAGTGTGATCTACTGTATCAAAATCCTTAGATAGGTCAATAAAGATACCTAGTGTGTATTGGGAATTAAAAAAACTAATAACTTTAAAGAGAATATCTTTTACTTGTTCAAAACAGTTTAGAATTGTATTATCATTAATGCCATCTGCTCCAGTAGCTTTATTTTTTTTCAGAGTTTTAAATGCTATTTCAAATTCTTCAAATGATAATTTAGAAGACAACTCCCCAGATGTAATGCAATCATTCATCGGTACTAGAAAATTACTAAATATAGCCTGCATTTTTTCATTTTCTGGGGACTTTGTTTTTAAATACTTTATAAACAGTTTCTGCTTGATCTTCGATGATTTTTTAAAATCTTTGGTAATCCAGGGATTAAATGTTTTTTTTGGATTTACTGTCTTTTCTATGAATGGAAAATTTGCATCGTAGATGGGATATAATGTGTTGAAAAAATTATCATATATAGAGTTTGCGTCATCGTTTATAAGTTTATATATTTCCAATGATAGTTGCTCTTTAAACTGAATAATATTGACCTTGTTAATATGACGCAGTCTAATTTTTTTGCTTGTCTTAATCATAGTTTCGGAATTACAGTTAAATGTTAAAAATATAGGGAAGTGATCGGAAATATCAGTTTTTAAGATACCTTTTTGTATGTTTTTATTAAGGATATCGGTTGTAATAATATTATCGATAAGAGTAGTTGTGTTTGTTGATACTCTTGTCAGTCGATTAATTAAAGGAACTGCTCCTAATTCAAATATTGCGTCATAAAACTTTTTAACTTTAGAATCCTCATAATAAGAAAAAGTATTCATATTGAAATCTCCAGTAACAAAAATTTTTTTTTTTCTTTTATGCTTCTTTTGAATATGTTTTGTTCCAAAAAAATGCTCAAATTTTTGCCCAGACCATCAGGTGGTCGATAAAAGCAGCTTAATAGAATGCTTTTTGTTTGATTGTTTACAATTTCAATCGTTAAAATTTCTTTATTCTTGTCTGAAACACTTAAATCATTCCTAACGTAATGCATTATGTTCTTTTTCACGTAAATAAAAATTCCACCGCCGCGCTTATTTGTTTGCCTATATTGAGATATTAATTTAAAACGAGGAAAGTTAAAATTCGAACTATTTTTTAGGTCATTTATAGTTATCCATGTTTCTGTTAAGCAAAGTATATCAAAAATATTTTTAGTTTCTTCTAATAAATTAAGTAGATTTTCAAAATTGCGATTTAAGCTTCTTATATTTACGTGAAGAATTTCAATTTTATCGCTCTTACATTATCCTTCAAAAGAAACTCTGCTAAATCACTTGGATAATAATATGAACAATCACTAAGCAAATCACAATTCTTGCGGCGAACGTGACGTCACTTTAACTAACTAAACGGCTACCATTATGGTATGGGGGTAAACAAAGCGCTTGAAAATGAAGAAATGTGTTTTTGATTGTTCAATTAATGTTAATAGTCATCCGAACTTGATTTGTTATATTTTGCTTCCTGATCCAAAGAGAAGAAAATCGTGGCTTTATGCTTTATATAAAACTGATTCATCTTGCAAAAACAAACTTTGGTCGCAAAACATGTCTAAGTATGCTCAAAACATTTGTATCTGGTAAGTTTTGTATTTGAATCGTCAAAATGTTTGAGCACAAATTTTTCTTGAACTTATTAAGTTTTTTTCGTCTATATATTTTTGTTCATTGTAAGTATGTTTCTCTTTTAGGAAAAAAAAGGACATAGTCTAGATGCTTTTCAAAATTTTGAAAAGCAAGTGAAATCATCCCTCCAACATAACCAATTGTTATGTGAAATGAAAGGAGAATAAATAGATTAAACAATTCAATTAGTATATACTATATAGTATTGGTATGTACTGTATAAACAACAAGATAAACTATATAATATAGTTTATCTTGTTGTTTAAAATGTTTTTGTAAAAACTGTTTATGTAATAGTTACAATTTTTTTTTTGTTTTGCATTGATGCATAACAAAAATAAATTGTATATATAAATATTAATGCATTAAAACTAAGCATTTATAAATCATGTGTTTATTGTTTTTATTTTTAAATAAATTAATGTTCAATAGCTTGTTAAGCACAAATTTTGTATTTACTATATACCTCAAACATGCTTATATTTTTTAGAATATTATGTACAAATAAGTCATTGCAATAAATCTCAAGTTATTAAAGTCAGTGAACAAATAAGTACTGACAATTCGTTGACTGGAGTGGAAGATGTTAGTGTCTTGAACCAACATGAAACAACAAGTTAACTTAGCTGAGAATGATGGTAGTTTAAAAATAATGCAGCATTGGCTAGGTAAGTGATTATGTGTATGTTGGCTCACTCATAAGTCAATATATATGTGTTTATGTTCTGTGTCGACCTCTGGTGTCGTGTTGGCTCACCCTTTAGACATTATATGTGTGTTTGTGTTCTGTTTCAACCTCTAGTGCGGTGTTGATTCACTTGTAAGTCATTATGTGTATAATTTTATTTTGTTTTATTGTGTTATTATAGTGATGTTATTGTTGTGATGCTTTGTGTTGATAGACAACTTTGCTTACCTTCTCGTTGGTGTCTCTTGCTACAAATGATTATTAGATGGTTTTTTTACTTGAATTTGTTACTTCTAATCATTTACTAATAAGCAAGAAACATGTTTTAAAGAAAAACATACTTTTAATGTTGTCATTTTTAATCTTTAGGATTGTTCCTAGGTCACAAAAACAATCTTACAAAGTAAGTTTCTTCTTTATTATTTATTTAGTTATATTTTTAATTAAATTTTCATTTTTCATGTTAACATGATACATAAAACATTAATTTGTAAATGCTTTCAGCATAAATTGGTTCTATTTTCTTTAGTAGAGTTTCTGCTATTGTCACTAGTTTTAGAGAGTACCTTCGTGAATGAAGATAAAAAGTCATTTATGTTATTTTTTAAAAGCCAAGACATAATATTGTTAATCCTCATACCATTTACTAAAAAGCTTTTTAAATATTGTTACGATGTTATAATTCAAATTGTTGTAATTAGTAATTTTGATCATTTCATTATTATACTGTAAAAAATATTTTTTATTTATAACATTTATTTCACATATATTAAAAACATAAGGAATAAATATTACACTGAGGAAAATTTTAAGCAAAATATAGAATTTTTAAATGTTATTAGAATATCAATATGTAATATTTTTGTTTTATTTATTGACTACATCTGTAAACTGTGCAATTTCAAAATGATGAATTAATTGAATTCCATGATTCCTTTAAGCATTTGCACAGATTTTTTCAATATAACGCTAAATATTGTTCTAGTAACGTTCAGCAGCTTTTTTAGATAACTTTTCTTGATAATCATAAGACATTTTCAAGGCGTTTAAGTAATGATGTACTGAAATCAGCGCGTTTGTTTGCCCCCATATCATAATGGTAGATATTTTTGTTTTTAATTACGCAATGATCACGTGGTTTTTTCGCCGCAAGAATAATAGTTAGTGTCTAGATCTGAGAATTCATTCGAGATGCAATCTATTTTAGAAAAATTAAAAATTTGGTTTTCAAACTTATTAATGCCGCTCTTTTTCATTTCAAATTCAAGTTTACTGAATTTGAAAATTTGAACAAAATTAATACAATTAATAATAGTTTTTAAATAAAAAAATTTAAACAATTTGTAAAATTTTGCTGATATATTGAACATATCGCTAATAAATAGTCTTGTTTGTCTAAACTAATTATTATTCAAAACATTATTTTAATAGAAATTAAAAAAACTCACAGCAATAAACGGCCTACATAAAAATAGAAATTTAAATCTCTTTGTTTAAATAAAAAAATTCTTTTCGGTTAAATAAAAGTTAAAAAAAAAAATTCAAAATGTTTAAAAGGCGAGCTACGTCGTCTTTTTATGGAGGAGTTCGCTTTTATTTTAAATTTTATTTTAATTAAGGTCTCGCATAAAACAAGAGGGCGTTTGGTTACCTTAAATATTACGCTTTGTAAAAAAATAAATTTAACATTATATAATACATTAATAAAAACATAATACAACAAACAAATAACGCTTATTAAAAAAAAATTTAATAAAGGTACCTTGATTTAAAAATTGCGCTACTAACATTGAATACCAATTATATAAATTTTTATTTTAATTGTATCACAAATACTTTTTTGGTATTATGAGTAACTTTAGTTTTTTTTATATAAATTTTTTATTTAGTTTCAATAAGAAAGTTAACCCAAACGTTTCTCTTAAAGATCGTATTTTATTACAAATCATATTGAATCTTTGCGCAACAAAGATTCAAAAAATATTGTAAGGCTATACAAAGCAGGTAATTTTGTAAATAGACTTGCATTAATTCAACTTTATTACTCACTTATCCAATACCATGTAAATAATGCAAGTGTCGCATTGTATAGTGCAAAAAAAAAAGTCAAAGTAATGCTTTTTATCGGCAACAGAAACATCAAGCACGACTATTAAACCCTGACAAATGGTTTTACTCATGCAAAACCCCTTTTATTTAAAATGAATATTCCTAATATATGTTTTTATCGCTCTTTGCTTTATATTCAAATTTATAATATATTTAACTCCTCTATCTTTTAAAAATTAATATGCAATAAAATCCAAAAACAGTTATGATCTAAGAAGTGACAATTTTGTTTATCAACATTATTCCCATACAAACTTTAGATGATCTCATATCATAATTTATATTTTTCCAAAAGTTGGATTATTTTTACTTTCAAAAATAAACAAAAAATAGTTATTTTCTTAATTGATAATATATTTGAGTTTTATTGATCTCAATTCTTTTTATAAGTGTAACCTAAATATAGTTTCAAATATTATATTGTAATTTTTATTATTAAACGGTGTTTTATATTTGATATAATTTTATTTGTATTGTATTTCTGAACGGTATTTACTTTTTATTTTATATATTTTTTGAAATATCTGGTTATTGTATTGCTAAACTGTTTTCGGCGTTACGATCCTGGTCGAGTTTCCGTGTTCTTATATAATATGTTCAATAACATATTATATAAGAACTGAATGAAAATTGAACGAGCCGCTGGTAAGTTTTTAAATTGATAATTCGCGATTGGGTTGCAAAGAAAAGCAAAAATTTATCTTCATAATATTTGGCATTAATTAACGCAATTTTATTTTTATTATTACTATGCATATTTAATTAAACTGTTTTAAAAATGGAGGAAAATTTCATGTTTAAATCTTCTAATGAAAATGACATCATCGGTGATAATGACACCGACTCTAATTATTTTAATCACAAAATGCTAGAAAGTCAATACTACTCAGTTTCTGAATCTTCGCAATATCTAGGACAAACTAAAAACACTTTTTCAATTTTAAATATCAATATTCGAAGTTTAAATAAAAACTTTGAAAATTTAAAAATTTTATTGGATTAAATTAAACACGATTTTAAAATTATATGTTTGACGGAAACTTGGTGTAAATGCGGTGAAACAAATTATCAATTTGAGCTAGTTAATTACACATCAATTCACCAACCGCGTGAAGTTTATGCGGGTGGGGGCGTTAGTATTTTTATCCATAATTCAGTTAATTATATTTTGTGTAAAGATCTCTGCGTCAATGAAACAGATTATGAATCATTGTGCGTCGAATTAGTAAATAATAAAGAAAAAAACATAATTATAAATACTACATATAGACCACCATCTGGAAACTTAAAGAAATTTAAAACTCATCTTAAAACATTTCTAAACAAAATTACAAATTCGAGAAAACATACTTATTTGGTGGGGGATTTTAACATTAACCTGATCAACTATGCTTCAAATAATAATACTAAGAATTTTATAAATACTCTTCTACAATATAACTTTATCCCAACAATAAACAAATCAACAAGAATAACAAATAGGTCTTCTACTCTACTTGATAACATCATAACTAACAACTTTCATAATAACCTCTTTGCACAGGTATAATCCAGACCAATTTATCGGATCATTTTCCTACATTCTTAGCTACAAATAACATTTTAATTAACAATATTTCCACAAAATCCATAATAATTTGGCGACAGATCAATGAAAACTCCTTAAAACAATTTAAAAATTGTTTAAAAAATTGTGTTGATTGGAATCTAGTACTGCAATCAAATGAGGCTAACAATGCATATGACTTGTTTCTTAATCAATTTTGCAAACAGTATGAAATAGCGTTTCCAGAAATAAAAAAAGTCATAAATACCAAGTCACTTCAAGCTCCCTGGATGTCTAAAGGCTTAGTAAAATCTTTAAAAAGAAAGAAAAATTATATATAAAATATCTTAAAAAAAAAACTTATAAAAATGAAATAACTTACAAAAATTATAAAAATATATTTAAAAAAACCAAAATATACTCAAAAAAACTATTTTATGATCAATTATTAAAGAAAACCAACGGAAACACTAAAAAAATATGGAATTTAATTAAAGATTTAATTGGAAAAAATAATTATAACAAAAGCACTCTGCCAAAAAATCTTTTAATTAATGGAGAATTAGTTTATGAAAAATCAATTATAGCTGAAGAACTAAACAACTACTTTGTTAATATTGGCCCGAATTTGGCTGCTAAAATTTCTACTAATTCCATTCCATTTGATTCATACTTAAAAACTTATGATAAACTTATGGATGAAACTGATTTAAAACTGAGTGAGTTGAGAACTGCATTTAGCAGTCTCAAAAGTAAAAAAAGTGAAGGTTTTGATAAAATTAGTGTTGATGTTGTCAAATCTGTATTTGAAGTCATTGAACCTTCTTTATTTCAAATTTTCAATCTCTCATTAAAGTCAGGTATTGTTCCTAATAAATTAAAAATTGCCCGTATAACACCAATTTTTAAATATGAAGATAAGTCAAATATTTTAAATTTCAGGCCTATATCAATCTTACCTTGTTTTTCAAAATTGCTAGAGAGAATAATGTATAACAGACTTTATAATCATCTAACTGAGAACGACATGTTGTATTGTAAACAATTTGGTTTTAAAGAAAAAAATTCCACTGAACACGCAGTAGTTGAACTTTCCAATCAAATATCTAATGCCTTAGATAATGACTGTTTTACATTAGGAGTTTTCATTGATCTGTTAAAAGCTTTTGATACCGTAAATCACTATATACTAATAAAAAAACTCAAAAACTACGGTGTAAAAAATAAAAACTTACTTTGGTTCAAAGATTATCTGACTAACAGAAAGCAATTTTTATACTATAATCAAAATAATACAATTCCACACTCCATAACTTGCGGGGTTCCTCAGGGTTCTATTTTAGGACCACTTTTATTTATATTGTACATAAACGACTTATACCTATCAACAAATCTTTTAGACCTAATTTTGTTTGCTGATGATTCAAATCTTTTTTGTTCTCACAGAGATATTAAATCACTTTTTAAAATAGTTAACGAACAGTTATGTAATGTTAGTGCATGGTTCGTAAGTAATAACTTTCACTAAATGCGGAAAAAACAAAATATATGCTTTTCCATAAAGTAAATAAATCAGAAAATATTCCTCTTAAATTACCAGATCTTAATATTAATAAAACTTATATTAAAAGGGAATCTTACATAAACTTTTTAGGAGTAAAATTGGATGAAAATTTAAAATGGTGTTCACATATAAATAGCATTGAAAAAATAATCTCAAAAAATATTGCAATGATGTTTAGGGCTAAACCCTTTCTAAATATATCATCTCTGAAAAAAATTATATTTCGCTTTTATTCACAGTTATTTGTCTTATTGTAATGTTGTGTGGGCTAGTACTAGCCATACAAAACTAAAGAAACTCTACAATAAACAAAAACATGCATGTAGAATAGTATTTGGAGCCGACAGAAATGTTCCTTGCGAACCACTTCTAAGTGTGCTCGGTGCTTAAAATGTATATAAACTCAATTTACACCAAGTTTTATTGTT